GAATCACCATGGATTTGACGAAAAATGGTCATCTTTTTCTATGACACCTATAAAATATATATAAATAAAAGGATGCTTTTGTAGCTTAACCACTCATGGAAGCCCTCCTGGAAATAAGTTTGACTCATTTAATACATTTTCTTCAATTTAAAACTAGTAAAATCGCATAAATCAAAAAACAAACAATGGATTTCAACAGATTCGTATATCACTAACGCGTTGATACGTCTTGGAAGATGCCTATAAAATCCCGTTAGAACAGAACCTCAAATCTTTTAAAACGAGTTTTTTGTATAAGTATGTCTGACCTGGTTGTGAAGTTTGAAGGATTCTGTTCATCTCATACCTGCATGTTAATAACTCATTGAAAAGTGGTGCATGCAAGTTCTAAGAGTCTATTTAGCTGACACTCATAATTTTTCGAGTTCCCAGCTATGCGCGTCTAAGAAATTGAAACATTTACAGGTATTAATCGTGGCTTACTTTTAATAAGTTATGAGCATCGTCTTCCGATAACTCGTAATATTTTGAACATACTGCTCGCAGAATCCTGTTTAAAAGTGACAGCTGTTACTCGCATTAAATTTAATTCAGTGTGAGTAGTTCCTGTAGGTATGATGCGACAATGACGAAATTATTAATATTGTGCTGCAGCTATGAGTACGTACCATTGAGTGATTAGTTATAGTAGTTAAGTTCCGGTTTCTGCTCTTTGAGATGCAGTAATCAATATGCAGTCTGTAGACGGTGAAGTGTGAGTTGAAATAATCAGCGCTTGTTAAGTATCAATTTTAAGTTTTCGTCAGTAACATATAGAAACTGTCAGTTTTAATGAGATGTGTCGTGAAGTTTATATTGACGAGATTCAAGATCGGACGATCTATTATGCTTTGTGGGCTGATGTAATTGAGGGCGTAAGCATTCTCAGATTATACACTATAGGTTACGTTACGTAGAATATACATGCGAGTGTATAGTATGGAATTTTCTGTAGAAAATTTGTAGTGTATTTTCGGTGTAACTCTTAACCGTGTTCCTTCAGGGTGTGGGTGTGGGGTGCGGGGTGTGAGTTTAGATAAATGGAAGAATCATACTCACACCCACATCCATACTCACACCCACATCCACCCACACCCACACACCCCACACCCACACACACTCCACACACACCTCGCACCCATCCAAGCCCACACCCCACACCCACGCTCACACCCAAACCCCACACCCACCCACACCCCATCCACACCCCACACCCACACCACACCCACACCCACACACCCCACACCCACACACACTCCACACACACCTCGCACCCATCCAAGCCCACACCCCACACCCCACACCCACGCTCACACCCAAACCCCACACCCACCCACACCCCATCCACACCCATCCACACCCCACACCCACACCACACCCAAGAAATACCGTTACGTTTCTTAAAATTGAGAAGTCAGTAGTGACTTGCTATAAAATCATGTATATTTTTCATTTTTGCCTGGGACAAAGCCCATCGCTTCAAGTAAATGTCATGCACAGGTAAATTCTTATTACGAGCAGATCAAAACCTATCAAGCACAAAATTCTCCACGCGGTCCAGTTTTTGCCGACGATTTCCATTACTCACAACATATTCTCGGAATCGCTTAGGTTGCATACGATGTGTAACTCGTGAATAAGCATGCTGTAAGGTTGTGAAAGAAACATTTCGATCAGGCAAAATCAACAACCTTTTGCATATATTCTAAAGTGAACTGACGATTTCCAAGTACTTTTTGTTCTTCATCATCTTCGATTTCGATACGATAGTCAGGATCAAAATCTTCTTTGTCAAAAATTTCGAGAGAATCTTCGGATTCTATTGTAAAGCTATCACTATTGGAAAGGTCTTCTAATAATACTTGTTGGATGAACATTTGTCCTTTCGAATGCTTTTTTATATATAAATTTACATATATTAAAAACGTTCGTCATAGAAAAGTAATTGTCAATATAGTGAAAATTGAAAGGATATTGCTCAAAAGTTGTGTCATATACTATTTTCTAAATGGCAGATATATATTCGGAAGGACGAGAAAGAATCTACTCGAAAATCTTAGAAAATACCAGAAACATTTTCATAGGCGAAAAGAATAGAAAACGAAGAGAGAGAGATGATTAAGTAGACTAATAAAAAGAACAAAAAAAAAAATGCGTATCATGTGTACATAACAACAGGACGAAAAGAACTGTCTTTATCTCACTTCTTTAGTATAGCGTTATACCATTATGTAATAACAGTAGCAAGTCACGAAGCACATTAGATGAAGAACACTTCAGTATTATCTAATAATGATCATGCAAGTTAATCTAAAAATACACTACCAAATGAGACATCGTCTATGATTCAACATGACGATTTAATCGGTTTTTCTCATTTGAAGGTCCATGGGGGAAAACGAAACATACTACGAGAATCCGCTCGTCGAGCTCTACTAACTGGTATATATCCCATTCAAAACTGAGCGTCACTCTTGGGGATCTTCCCTCGTGCGTCAAACAAAGATTAATAGATAAAACAGTAAATTCAGTTGTGTTGTTTGTATTTCAAACACTCATATCTATCTTTTGTTTAATATCAGTAATTTCGACTATGTTTATTTTCATTTATAAGTAGAAAATAAAATTATCTATTCAACTATTTGACTTATATTGTTTTCACTTTTATAAGTATTAATAAATCGTTTTTTTTTTACATATTCATTGATTTATAATTTAAATCTTCTGAAATTATTTTTTCATATGGATTGATAATGGAATGTTTTAATATAGTACAAAAATTAAAACTAAAACGATGCAATAGATTTCATTCTCTTTTTTACTTCGAAAGTCTTGCCTTTGAACAAAAAAAAGCAACACAGCAGTTTTAATTATTGCAACAGTCCAACAAATACATTCAATAAATATGTTTACAAAAAATTAGATATTTTTTCTGATCGTATCAATTAAATTACAAATATCTCATGAATTTCTTAGCAACATGAAATCCATCTTTATTTCTACTCCATACGTTTGTTGCATTTCAGTACCAATGCGTGCAAGTTCCATTGATATGCATCCCAATGCAACATGGTCAAAGAATGGTATCACTGTTGCTGGAGGAAATAGACGAGGTAGTGAAACCAATCAACTCTCGTACCCATGGGGTTTGTACGTTGACGACGATCAGACGATTTATGTCGCTGATTGTGAAAATCACCGTATTGTGGAATGGATATCTGGTGCAACGAATGAAAAAGTAGTTGCTGGTGGAAATGGAGAAGGAAATGGAGCTCATCAATTAAAATTCCCACGAGATGTGATTATCGACAAAGACAGCGATAGTCTCATCATCAGCGATTGGGGGAATAAAAGAGTAACTCAATGGCCTCGTCGAAATGGTACTCGTGGAGAAACAATTATTTCAAATATCACTTGCGGTGGTTTGACAAAGGACGACAATGGTTTTCTCTATGTCGTTGACGAAGGAAAATATGAAGTGAGACGATATAAAATTGGTGATACTCAAGGAACAGTAGTTGCAGGTGGCAATGGAAAAGGAAATCGTCTTGATCAACTCTCTAAACCCCGCTACGTATTTATCGATCGCGATCATTCAGTTTATGTGTCTGATCGTGACAATCATCGTGTCATGAAATGGGAAGAAGGTGCAAAACAAGGCATTGTCGTAGCCGGTGGTCAAGGAGAAGAAAATAGTCTTACGCAATTGAGTCGCCCTTATGGAGTCGTTGTCGATCAATTAGGTACTGTCTATGTGGCTGATTTTGGGAATCATCGAATCATGCGTTGGCCAAAAGGAGTCACACAAGGAAGTGTCATTATTGGTGGAAACGGTAAAGGAGCACAGTCGAATCAACTCGCTTATCCCATAGGTTTATCATTCGATCGACATGGTAATCTCTATGTCGTCGATCACTTAAATGCTCGAGTACAAAAATTTAATATTGCATAAACTCAATTTGTATGATTAATTTTTTTCTTTTCGTTCTTTTTGTTTCCTCTTTCAACTAAATTGCGATTGAATGAAAAAATGCGTTCAAATTTATTCTATTCTCGCACGCGCGCGACCAGGAATCACTCTGGTGGAGCCATGGCGAGCGTAATGCTCATGCACACGCGGAAAGACCCACATCATCCGCATGCACCCATCCGAGGGTGTGGGTGTGGGTGGGTGTGGATGTGGAGTGTGAGTGTGGGTGGGGGGTGTGGGTGTGGATGTAGGTATGGGTGGGTGTGGATGTGGGTGTATACACCCACATCCACATCCAAACCCCACACCCACACCCACACCCACCCATACCTACATCCACACCCTAAGCCAAAGACTATCTTTCAAAAAAATAAGCATTATAATCGTCACTGTCTTGAATTGTCGTCAAGAACAATTGATTTTCCAAATATTTTAGGAATATTATTTTGATCAAAATTTAATAAAAAAATAAAAATCATATTTAATCAATAAAAAAAGATATTTTTTCTCATAAGGATTTCCCTTATATCAATTGATACTATAACTTCTTTTCTGATAAATTCTTGGAAATATAATTTATTCCCTAGGAGGAAAAAAATTTTCTAAAAATTTACTTTTTTTCATAAAAAGCGATAAATAACTGGACGGTAATGTTCGTGAAGTAGGTCATATCCTATAAACTCATAAGCTTGTCTCAATAAAACACACAAATGAATAATTTTCATTTGTTTAATTTTTAAGTCAAATTGATCATTAACAAAAAGAATATCTTTTAAATTTTGATCAATATTTGAAAATACAACTTTATCTGCTAATATGTCAAGTAATTCACCAAAAACAAAGATTTGTAGTTTTATTATAATAAATATACTGTAAAAAAGGCACTCAAAATTGGTTATTTTTACAAATATCTAATTTAAAAAATTCTTTTATTTTCTCAGGAATCCAAAATTAACTTTCCCAGCGATTTTCTTTTTCTTTTAAATTTTTTAAAATCTTGTTGAGCCATATTTCTTTATATACTCATGTGATATTCAGCTTGATCTATAAAACAAATATCTAAGTTACAATCAATTATTGCAGATAAAAGATTAAATAGAACTGATGGTAAATTATTTATTTCAAAAAAGTTTCATACCTAAATTGATTTAATATCGATTTTACAGTATTTTTTAAAGAATTTTTCGCATAATTAACAAAATCATAGGTATTACTAGAAATTGATCTTTTTTTTCTGAATTCTGTTCCAGCTGTTCTCTTTTTTATGTTTAATACATAATATTTTACATTAATGAATGTATGACCATATTTCACATGTGCAGCTTTAGTAATACTTTCTACTTGTTTTGCATTTCTTTCATTCTTCTGAATTAGCCCACTTTTGTCATAAAATCTCATGTTCTCAAGAATAATATTTCCAACTCTAATAGATCTTAAATTTATTCCATCCTTAATCCAAAACCCATTCTTTTTAAAATAACTGATATGTTCATTAGAATTTCCAGTTTTGACAAGTACGACTATATTTTCGGGAGTTTCTAGTAAACTATTTTGTTGAATATCCAATCTTAAATATAGATTGCAAATTGAATCTCAAAGATATTTTACTTCTTTTACAATTTTCATCTTATCAGTTATTATTTTCTGTTCTTAACTAAATTGTTGATATATGCAATATGATAGTAAACTTTAGCAACTATATTTTTATAGTTTAATATTTGTCCTTTTCCTCAATGATCTCGAAATAAATGTCAAAGTTCATTTATTTCTCCTGATAATATTATAGCTTGTTGCTTTATTTCAGCAAGTCGTATTTCTTCTTGACTAATAAACTGATCATATTTTTCTTAAAATTTATTCTAAAATATTTATCATAATTTATTTTTCTTTTATATTTCTCGTATTATTTATTACATAGTTCAAAATTTTTCCTTTTTCTTGTCATAATTTCTTAATATCAAGTCGGATATAATTATTGCACCTTAATAATAAATTAAAATATTGTACTGACGTTTCGAATTTCAAAATATATATGAATATTTCACAAGTGAATATGAAGTATATTATATGAGTGATTCAGACCAATCGAATGTATCCCAAATCGTTCTCACTTGTTGTAGAAAGAAACGGTATTTTCTTTCCTTCATCTGTGGAAAACATAGCTTCTGTTTTTACTCTCGTTATTTATATGATTCTTTTATTAGCAAGATGTATTATTGTATATATTAAGAGATAAAGATTAAATTAAGCTATAATAATAGAAAATAATGACGAATCGTGAAAAAGAAAGAGACTTTAATTTATAAAAATCCATCATTAAGTCCTAACTTAAATCTTATTAATATTGAAAGTAAAGAAGTAGAAAAGAAATCTTCTCTTCAAGATATAAGATCTATTAAAGTATATCATTAAAATGATGATAAATATAGTAGTAGTGATGAAAATGATATTGTTGATATTGTATATTTGCCTGAAATTTCAATGATTAAAAGGAAAGAAGATCAATTTTATTAACATCTTTTATCGATCAGTAACAAAATTCATGATGATACAATTAACGAAAAATTGCGTGAAGGATAAAGTACATCTAGTATTAAGGATGAAGAAGAATATTATTCTAGTGCATAGAAAGATAATAAACTTGATGGATATGATTATAATTTTAAAAATCATGGTTCACTTATTTATCATGGTGAATTTAAGAATGGAATAACTTAAAGTAGGTTATGGAAAAGTGTAATTATCAGATGAATATGAATATGAAGGTAAGATTAAAGATGGAAAATTTCATGATCTTGAAAGTGTTCTTAAACTTATAACTGAGTGGAAAGAAGGAAAAAACAGAATTGGTTTATATAAATGATATTGAATAGTATTATAAAAAAATCAATATGAATTTTGTTTTTATAATAGTTTAGAATCTACAATTTTATTAAATAATGAAAATCAACAAAAATAAAAATAATATCTTCAAAATTTCATTGATTTATTTAAAAAACGTCTTTCAAACCTTAAGCTACTAAAAGAAATAGTTACTAAATCTATTCTACATCGAGAATTAAAATCATCAGTTGATCTTTTATTTAAATTAGATCATAGTTATACAAATTCCAATAAATAAACTAAAACAGATAGAAAAAACAAAACTTCTAATGATTGTATGTCATCGAAAATTATCTTTGATTATAGTTTAAATAATTTTTTTAAACAAAATCTCAATTATCTAATTTAA